CTTAATAATTAACCATTTTAATACTTGTATACCAGATAGAAACAATAGCAAAAATTTCTTGCCAAATATGATTAGAATCCACAGAAAAAAATTAAAAAACTGCAAGTCCTTCGAACACTTTGTTATATGTATATTATTNTGTTATATATATGTTATTGTTATTATGTAGAAATACATTGTATTGTATTTAAAAAAGTGGTTGTCAAAAACATATTCTACAAAAATGTGTGATATCCGAACAAAATATCTTTTTGAAAAAAAGGTAAAAAAAGGCGCCAAGTACATGCGCAACTTGTATCTCTAGAAAACGTAACAATATTAAATCTTTTCTCTACAAAATCTATTCTACAAAAGAAATGATATCAATAAGTAACGCCAAGTAAAGTCTTGTATACATTTTTTGTTATAAAATATACAAAATCTATTCTACAAAAGAAATGATATCAATATGTAACGCCAAGTAAAGTCTTGTATACATTTATTGTTATAAAATATAAAATATTCCAAATAGAAAGTTTAAAAAGTGTTATGCCACGGTCATCGTGTGTTCTATAGTTGCTAGGCAAGCAGCGTTGAATATTACTCTAGAAAAAATATTACTATAAAAATCTTTCTCTACAAAATCTATTTTACAAAAAAAATGATATCAAAGTAGCACCAAGTAAAATCTTGTATACATTTATATACATTGTTACAAAATACGAGTATAACATATTATATAAAACTTTGTAAGTTGTTTATGTTGCAAAATATAAAATATTATATTTGTAAGGTGTTTATACGTTCTAAAATATAAAATATGAAATATTCCAAAACAATANAAAGTTTAAAATATTATGTGATCACTATACTTTATATATAAAGCACTCATCGATGCAAGAAATGACCTCGCCTTGCGTAGACAACCTTAAACTATGTCGAATCATATAAATTTTGCTTTGTGTGAAAAGTCAAAAACTCATGTAAAATTTTTTAAAATATAAAATATTTAATGTAAAAAAACTTGGCGCGGCTGCACCGAAAACTAAAGACAGAAACACACACTAGCACACATGAACTATGTACTTCACATATGAAAGTTTAATTTTAGAATAAATCAATTAGCATAGCACTACAAGAGTGTAGCAATTATGAGAGTTCTTCAAGTAATTTTCGATACTTTTGAGAATCGCCGTTAGATGAGTTTTGTCGAAAGAAAATAATGTTATTTTAATACAAAAAACTATTGAATAACTATAATATCAGAGTAAACTTTAATTAATTTAGTATAGTTTTTGGTGCAGCCGCGCCAAGTTTTTTTACATTAAATATTTTATTTTTTAAAATATTTTACATAAGTTTTTGACTTTTCACACAAAGCGAAATCTATATGATTCAACATAGTTTAAGGTTGTCTACGCAAGGCGAGGTCATTTCTTGCATCGATGAGTGCTTTATATATAAAGTATAGTGATCACATAATATTTTCAACTTTCTATTGTTTTGAAATATTTTATATTTTATATTTTAAAACGTATAAACAACTTACAAATATAATATTTTATATTTTGCAACATAAACAAATTACAAAGTTTTATATAATATGTTATATTTTGTAACAATGTATATAAATGTATACATGATCTTACTTGGCTCTACTTTGATATCATTTTTTTTGTAAAATAGATTTTGTAGAGAAAGATTCTTATACTAATATTTTTTCTAGAGTAATATTCAACGCCGCTTGCCTAGCAACTATAGAACACACGATTACCGTGGCAAAACACTTTTTATACTTTCTATTTGGAATATTGTATATTTTATAACAAAGTATAAACAACTTACAAAGTTTTATATATTTTATATTTTGTAACAATGTATAAATGTACAAGACTTTACTTGGCGTTACTTATCTGATATCATTTCTTTTGTAAAATAGATTTTGTAGAGAAAGATTTTTATGGTATATAAAGTACACTGAT